TGAAAGGCTAACGGGGCAGGAATATAGAAACATAAATGTCAGAGTTGGAAGGGTCCTTGCATTCAATCTACCCCAATGCTCCCTTTGGCAGATGAGGCAACTAAAACTAAGGCAGGTAAATGGGCATCATACAATTTGTAAACAGAGTAAAAGTAGATGATGATTTTTCCCAGGTGTTCTTTGTTTCACATGTTCTGAAATCAAACACCTGGATTTCAGCTGCTGTACCTCTTCGAGTTCACACGCAGGAAATAGATTTTTACTGCAAAGCTAGAACAATTGGTACTCAGTACCTGTGAGAATGTATGGAAGTTACTTAATCTCTTAAACCTCATTTACCCTCTGCAAGAAAGGATACTTATCGTCTGTGTCTGGATAATTCAAGTTCCTAATAAAGAATGCACCTGTGCCTGGTGGAGGGACTTTAGGTAATGTAATGCAGCCTATCCTGCCATTCAATTTCAAATCTGCCTTTAGAAGAACTGTCTTAAGAAAAGGGGATGGAAAAGGTACATTAATGGGGATGGAAAATCGAGAAGACAAAAAGAGAAGACAAGAGGGCCCTTACTCATATTTATCTGACCATTATTATACAGGATCATCCAGAAGTTTATTCTTTGGCAAATTAAAAAATAATCCCAACCTAGTAAATAACTCTAGTAAAAATTTTTTTAGATTTCTGATTTTCTCTGACATAAACTAAAATAAACAAATAGAAAAAAAAATGATTTAAACAACTTTAGGTTCTTTCCATAACACATCATATGGAGCATTTACAGGGAGTATTGACTGCCCTGGCATCAGTGAACCCATTGGTGAGCTCTGGACACACTGGGAGAACATGGGCTTTCATTCCTTAATCCAATAACCAGTGTTAAAGGAAAGCAATTAACACTCATGAGTGCCTGTTAATGCCATATTGTCCAGTGTCACATTCTCAATTTTATTCAAAGTACTGAGTGTACTCTCTGTACAAATATAATTATTTACTCATAAATCATTATCATGAAGCTCAAATCCTGGCATCAAGGAGGAAAGGGTTTTTTTTTTTTCCCTCATCCAGTCTATTCTGCAGGGATGCTTTAGAGTTTGTTGCTTCCTCTGCTGGGAACTGTCGTCCATTGGTAAATGTCAATATGGGTCACTCTGCACCTTACCAAGGACTAGGATGATTATAACTTGCCTTCTCAAGAGGCCTTCTTATGCTTCTGGAACCCCACAACCTGGAGTCTTCTCTCTCCCTACTGTATGAGTTGGTAAAAGCTTGGAATTGCTGCTCTCATAAACAGCTCTGGGTAATTCTTGCCCATTCATGTATCAGCAGAGGCTCTGCTCCACATAATCTCGCAGGGCCTGAAAAGGGGGCAAATGAACTCCATATGGGTTCTTCAAGAATCCTATCAGAATTGGCACACACCACTGTTCTCTTATTTCAACTTATCCTAAGTGAAGTCACCACACTCATCCCCAAATGGGAAGCAATTCTACCCTATAGCTGCAGATGGGAATATGCATGGTTTGTTAAACAGCTCCAATGACCACCATGATTTGTATCATAATTGGTAAATACTTGGCCCTGTCTCCCTCATCCTCTTCTTCGAAGGAGGCAATCCAAAAACCAACTCTGTCCCAGCCCCAAGGTCAAGTTTACATTATATGATTGGGCTTTTGTATCTATGGGTTCCATATCTATAGGTTCAATAAACTCTAGATCAAATATATTTGGAAAAACAAAACAACAACAAGAACAACAACAACAAAAAAATCCCAAGAAGTTCAAAAAAAGAAAAACTTGAATTTGCAGTGTGCAGACCAGTAAGCTGAGTTTCTGTGAATGAAGTGATATGTGGGCAAAGGCTACCACACCTCCCACCATTTCACAGATCCTTGGTCTCCCTTTAGCACTAGTTATTCAATTCACATCTTCTTTGTGTACTGTATAGTTAAGCCCATGATGGTTGTATCTGTAAAGAATATGTTCAGACTTTTTTTTCTTAGCACTATTCCCTAAATAATAAAGTACAACAACTATTCACCTAGCACTTATTTTGCATTAGGTATTGCAAGTAATCTAGAGGTGATTGAAAGTATAGGGGAGGATGTGCGTAGCATGCAAATACTGCACCTCTATTTTATATGAGACTTTAGCATCTTCAAATTTTGTTATTGGTGAGAGTTATGGAACCAAGCCCCTGCAGTCACTAAAGGATGACTACATGTACATACATGTTCCTGTGAAGATATAAAACCTGGACATGGCTTCTATTGGTACATTGACCAATATTCTAAGAAGAATAGCTAGCTAGCTTGCTAAGATTTCTTCCTCCCCACACATGCAATATGTACACTGGTTTGTAGCAATTAAAACTCTAGTGGGCAAATATTGAATGAATGGGCTTTGTCCCTGGGTAAAGCCAGGGTGTCCTTGTACTGCCAGTAATTCTGGGTCCTGGGATGGAGCTCCTGAGTACTGTTTTCTTCCTGACTCCATTGTCTCGCATTCTATTCTTTATCCATTAACCACTTTAGTCACTGTGAAGTGAACACTGGAGAATTGGCTTCCTTCAGAGCATAAAGCAGTTTTTTTAGGCTGCTGTTTGCCCATGAAGGATAGGAATAAAAAGGATCATTTGAGTCTTAAATTGTCACTTTTCTTCCTAGCCTGTGGTTCCTTGGGAAGAACTTTCTTAGATCATAGCAAGCCTCTTCCCATTGAAGCCAGTGCTCAGCCACTTTTGCAAATCACTTCTCCACATGATTCTGAAATGGCATCTGTGTCTTTGGTATTGCAGGCCAGTTACTTCTCCCTCTCCCCTGCTGTTATTTTCCTTTTTTCAATCTTAAGTACAATCATTCTTCAGTGTCTATGGGAAATTGGTCCCAGGACCTTCTCTGACACCAAAATCTACAGGTGTTTGTGTCATATAAAATGACAGGGTATTTGCAGAGACCCCCCCCCCCACACACACACACCTTTTCCTTTACCCAATACAATGTAAATGATATATAAATGGTTGTTGTATTGTTTAGAATAAATGACAAGAATAAAAACTTTATACAGGATCAATACAAATGCAATTTTTTAACAATATTTTAGATCTATGGTTGTTGAATCCCAAGGAGGGCTGACTGCACAGGTAACGTGGCCCCATCAGTCTCTGGTGGAAGATCGTGGCTTTGTCTTTTCCTTCAGCCATAGTTACTTAGTACAAGATTTTACAAGATGAAAACTTAATTCATTTAGAGATTTGATTATTTCTGCAAAGTTGATTTGACAGGCTTTGGGCATCATGCAAGTTCTGCCTCTTCCAGCCTACCCAGGCTCTGAATTAGCTTCATCTTTCTCTTCTCTTTCATGATTGCTTTAGAAGGCAGAAGCCATTAATCCACAGAGGCACTTTTAGGAGACACACAGACTTCAGTGGGATTCCGATTGCTGCTATCACACAGCTCACTACAGTTGCAGATCTTTGTAGAATTGAAGCTTCTGGGGAAGTGCCCTTGATAACCTGCTCCCAGTTGCTGCCTCCCTGTTACTTGCTCCCCTGGCTGCTCAAAGCTTGTGCAAGACTCAGCTTCCTTGTTCTGTATTTCCTCCTACATTGAGTACTTGGGTACTTCCAGACTATGTTTTCTTTTGCGATAACAAAATTCTCAAGACTATGTAAAGGATGCAAATTTATTTGGTACATGCTTATAGATGTTGGGAAGACCAAGCATGGCACCGGTAACTGGTGAGGGTCTTCTTGCTGCACAATGACATGGCAGAGGGTATCACATGGTGAAACAGAACAAGCATGCCCTCTGCCAATGGAAAAGATAACTATGGGATTTGTTGAGAATTACCTACAGTACTTAGTGGAAAGTATGAAAGCTAGTTAAGATCCTTAACCATCAGTCTCCACAACCTTCTTTCCCTGGGCATGATGGTAATTCTTTAAACTGTGATTATGGGAATGACCTCTGAGGTGGGCCATTTGAGAGATACATTTTAGATCCCATAGTGGTTTCAGGCCTTTCTTAATTATCTGATGGTCTCAGCAAAGCTTTATTGGGTTCTGTGATTTATAACCTGGCCCTTTGCCTCTATAACCTGAGCTCTCTCAGCCTTCAGTCAGCATTTGGCTTGAATGGCTATTCTCTCTACTGTTCTTTGCTGGTTTTTTTTCTTTTTTGTTTTGGGTTGTTTAAGAAGACCCTTTATTTTTCATATTTTGTATTGGTGCATTATAGTTGTACATAATGGTGGAATTTGTTGTTACATATCCATACATGCACACAATATAACTTGCTCAAAATCATTCCCCAGTATAGAGAAATCTCATGAAAATCAAAGGGAGATCTGTAGAATAGAGGAAAATGATTAGGGAAGGGAGAAGAGGAGAGTAAGGAGAAGAATCTGAGTAAAAACAATAATAATAATTATTATTATTATTATCATTATCATTATCATTATTGAGTTATAGATGTAAGCCAGGAATTAGGGATTAACATGTAATCCCTAATTTGTATCATTACAAAACCTTTAAGAAGTGGAAATTACTATGTTCCTCATTTTACAACACAGAGAACATATATTCTGCTAGGCCACACTCTGTCAAAGCTTGAAACTCTGAACACAGGTTTGCATCTACCTTGTGAAATATATTCTACTGTCTCCTTCAGTCCCTCCTTATCCTTTTTAAATGTATTGCAATTTAAGGTTTACAAAGCAATATGTAATATCTCATATGTTAAACTATTGATTAGTCATATTTATCATTTGCTGAATCATACTATGTTATAAACAACGAGCTGTATCAGTCATGAACAAAGAGAGGAATGAGAACATGAAAATGTAAACATGGAGGAAAAATAGACTTTGTTGGTGAAAATAAAGGGGAAACAACTTTGGCACAGAAAATAAAACATTCAGAAAAGCCACTAATAGGTCTCTCTCTCTCTCTCTCTCTCTCTCTCTCTCTCTCTCTCTCTCTCTCTCTCTCTCTCCTGTGTTTCAGGAATACCAAATTGATATATTTTTTGCTCAGACCTGGACAGACAGTCGTCTTCGATTCAACAGCACAATGAAAATCCTCACACTTAACAGCAACATGGTTGGGTTGATATGGATCCCTGACACAATCTTCCGAAATTCTAAAACGGCAGAGGCTCACTGGATCACAACTCCCAATCAACTCCTCAGAATTTGGAATGATGGGAAAATCCTTTACACTTTAAGGTAAGATATCCTGTGGATTTCTTTAAATCATTAACTGACACATAGTACATGTGCCATTTGTACATATTTATGGAATACATTACAATAATTTAATACATGTATACATTTATTAATCCAATCAGGGTAGTTAGCATTCCAACTCCTCCAGTATTTATCATTTCTATGTGTTTGGAATTTTTGTATATTTCTAGTTGTTTTAAATGCATGATAAATCACAGACTATAGTTACTCCATTGTGCTATAAAATACTACAACTAATTCCTGCCATCTAACTACAGAATCTTTAATTACTTATGGTCTAATTTTGGATCCTTAATTTAAGTTATTGTTGAAATGAGACCCTATTTTTATCTCTTAAGTTCTGTTCTTTCTCATGTTTAACATACTACAGAGTTCTGAAAGAGTCTGTCCCCCTAATAGCAATTGTGTAAAAATAAAGGCATTCAAATGATCTGCAATGAATAGGAACTAATTCATTCATCAGAATCCATTTCTGCTGGAAATTAGTTGTGAAAATTATCTTTTATATATTTAACTCCATAAGTCCACTCAGCCGGGAAAACACAGATGTCTTGGAGTCCTAATTAACAAATGTCATTATAGTTAAATTTGAGACCACAGGACAAAAGACAAAGTGGGTGTTCCCCAACTCATCCCTAAAGGGAGATGCAGCAACCCGGCAATGTGTCCTCTTAGAGCCAGGTAATCCTCACAGAAACCCAGGGAGATGAGGAATGTTCTTCAAAGAAGTGGCTTGACTTTCCAAAGTTACTGCATGGAAGTAGTGTGACCAGAGTTTGACCTAAGTCTGAGTCCACAGTGCTCCTCACATTCCCAGAATGGTCTAAGCTTACCTGACCACGAAAATAGTGCCCCCCAGTGCCGCCTTTTTGCTTATTTAGTGCTAGGATCAAGAGGACAGCACCCTCTGGCAGTGGCCTCTGAGGGCATACAACTCAGAAAGGCACAGCTTTCACGTCTTCCACTGACCTGTGGCTGCTTCTCATTGTGTACTTACTACCTCTGGACCTGGCCCCCAACTTTACATGTTCCTACTGGCTTGGCTCATCTACTTCCTTGACTTTAAAGTCATATCCAAGCTGAGGATCGGGTGGTTGTTCTGGACTCCAGGTTCTTGGAGACCACCTGCCTGTCTGCTACTGTAGGCTAACAAGCATTTCAATTTAGTATGGCTCAGGGGACTACGACTTCTCTCCTACCTCTGACCCATGCTCCATGTCCTCCCTGTTAAGTCCATACCACAATAAGTTCCTCATGTACCCTTTCCTTACATCCCTTAATTTCCCCCCTCTCACACACACATCCAGTGTCATGAGCTTTCAATTACAGGTGCTTGTGGCCCTGAGAAGAAATCAGTGACTCCTAGTATTGAACAAGTGCCTGTAGCACAAATGACATAGACAAATATCAAAATAAGCAGAAGATAAGAGAATATTAAAGTTTCTGAGAAATAATAATTTTGCAGACAGGGAACAATAGCAACAACAAAAAATGTCACAATAGTGAGGTATGCTGATGAAATACATTGATAAAGCGAGAGTTTGAAACAGGTGTTTCATCAATTCTAAAGAAATACCAATGAGACACTGGAATGAAATAGAGCCTCAGTGAATCTTTATGGAGATATGTCTGCTCTTGGGATCCTGTACAGAAACTCTGTCACACAGGGTGTCTGTTCTGGAAAGATGAAGTATGCTACTTAGTACAACCGTCACCTTCCTCATGAAGTAGGGGATTGCCCAAGTAGGAAATACCTCCACAAGTGGATTGATTTGGCATAATAGCTATTTAGTCAAATATACCAGTTTCAAACGGAGGAGGGATTTCATTCAAACAGATTGAAAACGACAACTTATAAAACAACAGTTGGGTTTTTTTTTTCTCCTCCCTGACTTGGCTTGTATTTGTAGACACAGTTGGAATGTTACTAACTGGAATTCTCTGTTTCTGATTAAAAGCCAAACAAAATAACACAATACAAAGACAACAACAGGGCTTCACTGGGTGAAGAGTACAATTGCCCAGAGTGAGTTGCATGTGTTGGACCCTGCATCATGGAACTTCTCTCCCTCTCCATGCATCCTGGTGCCTCAGCCACCCCATGGGCCTTACCCAGGGCCTTGGCTGTGTTGTTTCTGACCCCAAGAGTGATGCTTGGCTCTTCTACAGGCTCACCATCAATGCAGAGTGCCAGCTGCAGCTGCACAACTTCCCCATGGATGAGCACTCCTGCCCTCTGATCTTCTCCAGCTGTGAGTACCCTGGTGGGGCATGAGTGCTGTGTAGGGAGTGACTGGTCTGGTACTGGTTTCTGGCAAGCAGTCATGCAACTGGTAACAGTGTCACTGTCCAACGAGAGAAAACTGATGATGGTTTTTGGTGTCAGCCACCTTTTTTTATTCCAGATGTTCTTAGACAGGATTTATGTTACAAAATAGATAAATTTGATAAAGTGATGAGCAACTTACCATTCACCATAAAATTGAAGTGTTCAGAAACTAATGACCGGTGGACTTACCAAAGATTTATGCTGATGAGATGTGCATATTATTTGAAGTATATTAATTTTTTGCAATATTTTTAGGCTTAATATTTTAAGGCAAGGTGAATTGTTTTCTAAATAGGAAGAAAAATGTCTTTTAAATCTATTTGTATTTGTCTCATTGTACTACTGTAAGGAACATTTTTATAGTGTCATACATTTCATTTGTGATTCATATCATAGCTAACAAGCAATCACTTAAAAATTCTTTAAGACGGCATCTAATACTACAGACAAGAGTACATATAAAGGAAATATCAAATTTATTTGCTTACTCACAAAGCTTTTAAGTAAAGGTTAATATGGAAATATATTTGCTGAATTTATGATGGTTCACTTTAAATATATTAATCACTAGTACTTATGTATGACTCACAGGAATTTAATTAACTTTATTCAATTTCTTTAAAATTGCATATGGAGCCTGACAAACAAATCTGATGAAATCTCAGGCAGACATTGTATGAAACAAAAGATGAATGCACTTTATAATTCCTTTTAGGTTCAGAAAAAGACAAAAAGGAAAGGTAAATTTTAGTAATCTTCTAGACTGGGTTAAAATATTTTTCTGTAAATATTCACTTAATTAGTTGAAACTAAACTTATTATTTGTTGATAACACAAACAGTTCATGCCTACCCAGTGGATGTGAATGCTTATAATATCTGGTAACCTTGCCTGCAAATCCTTTTGGGAAAGTTCTCTATTTATTTACTCTAAAAGTTACAGAATCCTCTAAATCAATGTGTTGTGAGTCACTTTGGTATGACACACATACACATATTGATATAATGTTTATGAGTGATTTGTCCAGTTCATAATTTATCAGCTAACCCAAGTTGGTCTGTTGATTCTTCCAGTGAACTGATATGGTCTTAACTCATTTATTGAGTTTGTAATTTTAGTGGTTATTTTCTAATTATTAGACATTAGTTTTGCATCTTCTATGCAATTTTGGCCCTGATTTCTTCACCAGATTTTGAATAATGACTATTTAAATTTTCAAAACATATCAGTATGTTTTGGGGTAGGTTTTGCACAATTTATTTAGTTATTTGTTAATTCGAGTTCATGTTTTCTGGGACTTTTTCTATGTGTTTCTTTGAGTCTTGTATGTAAAGATATTTTTTTAAAAGATGGTTTGCTCTGCTTCTCTCTGGTATCACTATCATTTTAATTTTTATTCAAACTTATAAAACTAAAGAACACTGCTAATAATTGGATTCACTACCCAGAATGTGATGCTGCTAATTCACTACTATTTGGTATGAAATTTATGTTGGTGCTTTCCTTTTTAAAATCCCTATTATTAGGATGTAATCTTCATGCAATAAAAACAACCTATTTCCAGTAAAGTTCACATATCTATGAGAATTTCACATATCTATGTAAATACCAGTACACAGAGATAATAGAACATTCCCATTAGTTCAGTTAGTTTTTTTTTTATGTGTCTGTGTGTGTGTGTGTGTGCGCGCGCTGAGACTTGAACCCAGTAGGACCTTGTGCATGCTAAGCACATGTTCTACCACTGAACTGCATCCCCAAACCCTCTTTTGCATCTTTGCAAACAATTCCCCCACCCCTGGCTCACGGCATTGCTGATCTGGTGTCTACTGCTACAGATTAATGGTGTTTATACTAGAATTTTGTATTTTATGTCTGGCTTCTTTCACTCAGCATAATATCTTTGAGATTCAAACATATTGGTACATGTATCAATAATTTATTTTCTATCACTGTAAATTAAAATTTAAGCCTGAGTACCTGGGCCATATAGATGGTATGAACTCTAGCTACCTAAATGTCTTCATGATTTCAGGCTTGTAGTTATAAATTCTTTGCACAGAAATTCATTTTTTTTCTCTTACATGTTTTCCACAAAGATGGACAGGGACTCTTCTTTTAGGGAGAGTTTTTCCAGATTCCTCCAGCTGAGGTTTCTTCACTTCCACAGTCCAGCAGCCATTAATGGGTTCTCTGCCCAGCATGGCTTCTCTGCTGGGGCCCAACTGTGTTGCTTGCTCATGTGGGGCTGAGGTCCAGACCAGCAGAGACTGTCAGGTTCCTGAGTGCTCCAGTATAGTCCTGCTCCTTGGGGTCTGATGGTTTCCTTTACTCCCTCAAGTTTTCAAAATGTGCCTAAAAAATTTACAAGCCCTTTCAAGAGTTTCATTCCAAGAGGAGATTTTCCACACATGCAGTTTACAATACTGCCAGAAAGAAAAGTATTTATATGGATTGTTTTAAAAAAAACGTTTTATAAAAATGAAATAATTTAAATTCTTAAAGGTAACTTACATAAACAACCACTCAGGGAAACACCATTCTAAAAGCTTAACTCTAACAATGTCTTTCTAGAAAGCATACAGCACTAGGAAGAAGTCTGTCATGGTAGGAAAAATGATTTGCAAGACCATCCACATGTATTTTCACGTCTCTGATATCATGTGGTGGTAGAACATGATCAGATTTGGGTATCAGGGATTGAATTCAAAGGCACTCGGCCACTGAGCTATATCCCCAGACCTATTTTGTATTTTATCTTGAGACATAATCTCATTGAGTTGATTAGCACCTCACTTTTGCTGGGGCTGGTTCTGAATGGTCCTCCTGCCTCAGCCTCCTGAACACGGGATTATAGGCATGTGCCACTGTGCCTGGCTTCAAAGACCTTTTTACATGTGGACAAGTAAAAGCAACTATGTCTGAAAAATCAGGGCACTGAATGACTAGATTGATGTTTGACAACCAGATAAAAATAAATTTAAAATGACAAAACTGGATATGGACTACTATGTACCATTAGAATGGCCAAAATCTGAACAATGACAAGTTCAAAAATAAGTGAAGAAGTAGAACAACAGAAACTCTCATTCATTGGTTTTTGGAATACAGAATGGTCCAGCTATTCTGGAAGACAGTTGGATAGTTTCTTACAGAATTAAATATACTTTTGCCATATGACTCAGAATTTGCACTCCTTGATATTTATCCAAGTAAATTAAAAAACATATTTCCACACAAAAGCCTGTGTACACGTATTTATAGTAAGCTTATTCATAATTACCCAAATTCAGAAGTAGATATCCTTCAATAGGTGAGTGGATAAACAATCTGGCTCATTCAAACAGTGAAATACTATTCAATGCCAGAAAAAAAGATATCAAGCCATGAGAGACACTGAGGAAACTTAAATGCATATTTCTAAGTGAAAGAAGCCAATCTGAAAAGGCTAGATACTGTATAATTTCAACTATGTGACATTTGGGGAAAAGGCAAAACTGTGGAGACAGGGAAAAGATCAGTGGTTGTCAGGGGCTGGAGAATGAGGGACGAGTAGATGGAGCACAAAAGATATTTAGAGCTGTGAATGTATTCTGTGAGACACTATAATACTAAATTTATGACATTGTGCACTTATCCAAATGGACAACACCAAGAGTGAATCCTAATGTTAACATGGGCCTTGGTTGATCATGATGTGTCAATAGGTTCATTGATTATAACTAATGCACCACTCTGGTGCAGCTATTAATTGTCAAGGAGGCTCTGAAGGGAGAGAGGGAAAGAAGTATATGGGAGCTCTGCACTTTTTGCTTAATTTTTCAGCAAACCTAAAACAGCTGTTTTAAAAAGTCTAATAAAAACAATAACAATTGGAGGTAGAGAAGGAATTTATTCCAATTATAAATGAAAAGGCCCCAAATAAAAAATAACTGGGAATCTCAAAATGTAAAGCTCTGCTTTAAAGAATAAATTTACTGAACTAATTTACATGTGTGGCATTAATTCATGTATATATTATTCACTTTTTATAAATGAGAATAATAACACTTTTTTAAAGGAAAATGTGCTTTGATGATTTGGAGTTATGGAGGATAGTTTTATCTATGACATTTCAGTACCTAACTTATTTCTACATTATAAATGTATATTATGAGGAAAACCCTCATCATAACACTGATGAGCAATTGGAAATGAAGTGGTGTTTGTTAACACTTGCTTTGAATTATTATTATAGTACTTTTCAGTTATTTGCAATCAGGAGCTAATTTTTTTTCTATTTAAAAATTGACAGCAGCAAAACTGAACATTTCCTGTCATAAATAAAAGCTAGGAAAATTCCTTAAAATGTATAGTAAAATTTAATGAGATCATTAATATGATAGTAAAGTCTTTCTACTTATTAAACTACTATATTATTAAACAACTTCTTAATTCAATTAAAAGACTCAGGACTGTACCTCCTTTTGGTGCCAATGTTTTTTGGTGGTAAATTCCCTAATATAAATTTTGTTTCTTTAGTAGTCTATCTGACTGGCACAAGCAAAACCTCTCAAATGATGACAATTCTATAAAATTTTCCAATACATTCACAGAGATTAGGTAATTTCATCTGATATATAGCATGTTTGGGTTTATTGTTACTATTACTATTTTATTATTTTGGTACTGAGGGTAAACCTAAGGTCTTGGGTATGCTAAAGACACAATCTACCACTAAGCTACACCCTCAGCCCTGGGCTTATTGTTTAATAATTGGGTTTATATATATTTTAAAGTAGTTGAGATTTGGGAGATATTTTAATAAATTAAAAACTTATTGTATTTTCTGTAGTCGTTGAGTTTCAGAATCACAATTACAAAACTCCTAATATATACTGAAAGAGAGATCTTGGGCTGGGGATATAGCTCAGTCGGTAGAGT